AGGGCTGTGGCCCAGGGACGAGACCTATGCTTCATTCTTTTGGGCCTCAAGATTGGGGCCCTCCAGGGTGCACCCCAAATACTTTGAAGAGTAAGTGATCCAGAAGTAGATCATCAAAGGTTCCTGGTGAAAACAAAGCACCACCCTTTCCCCCCTCTTTCTCACCCCCATCCTCCCACCCCCACCCCCCACATACTCTGGCGAGGGTTCACGCTGCAGGGGTCGCTGGGCTGTTTCTGCAGGTCGGGGCAGTCCCCCAGCAGCTTCCAGGCATTCCCGAAGTCCTCCACCTGGGGCTCCACCAGGCCGGCGGGGGTCAGGAAGTCGTCGCCCCTGTTGCCATTATAATTCCCGCAGAGGCCGCAGGTCCTCCCGGCGTACACAGGGGTCAGCTGCCGGGAGAGGGGGCCACCTAGAGCCACTGCGCTGCCCGCCCGGAGTGGCAACAGCTTCTTTCCCTAGTGAGAAGCTTCTAATCAACAAGGCTCCCAGGGTGAAAAATGAATATGAATGGCGTAAGCTCCAGCTGAGGCCAAGGCGGCAGAAGGCAAACCCAAACTAAAGGTCTGGGGAGCACCCCCACTTCCAGCCCCCCAACTCCTGGCACTTCCACCCTGAAACTCCGAGGCCAGGTCCACAAAGGGATTGTGGGCATGATCTAGCGATCCCATGATCTAATGACCTAGTCGTGGAAAGATGGAGACACTGAGCCCAGAGTGGCCTCACCTAAGCCTGGACAGCCAGGCTGGGCCCAGTCCACACCGGTCAGGGACTCCCGTGTGGGCCTTCGCCCCCAGCACTCAGGTGCAAGTGCCCGCCCTTTATGAAGCCCTTCTGCCAGCCACTCAAGGACAGGCAGGCTGAGCCGGTCCTGTCCTGCGCTGAGCCTCACACCTCCCTCGGGTGACAAGACACAAGCGCTCCTGACAGCCAGGAGTTAACTCCGCCACCTGCATCACTGCAGGGCCTGGGAGTCACAATGTGGGGGTGAAGAGGAGGGTCCAACTCCAGGCCTCCGCATTCACTGCCAGCGTGCATTTTCAGACTTTGGTGGGGGGTGAGCCCCCTCACCCCACATGAACAGTCGGAGGCGCTGCTGCCTTCTCTGGTCAACTCTGGGGCTGAGGCCTGAGAGCCCAGACCCCACTCACCTGTGTCATTGCTGAGCCCAGGCAATGGCAGGTCACCCCTGCTCAGCCCTCCCGAGCCAGGCCTCCACCCACAGGGTCATCTCTGAGAGCCCCTTCATGCCCAGCTCCGACTTAACAAGACCCAGACTGAACAATTAGTGGAAGGTCCTGGACCCATAGAAAATGTACCCAAGTAAATGTCATTAATAAGGAGGATGGAGTAAAGTTTCTCAGTTCCCTGCATAAATATGGAGTGCGAGGCCCTCCCTGGTGGTGCAACTGGGAAGCTGGCCACGGTCACTGCAGTGCGAGTTCAATTCCTGGCCAAGGAGCTGACCCACATGATGCAACAGATCTCTCCTGTCTCACCTGTTGCTCCCCTCAGCAGTGTTTCAGTCCATCTGCCTGTTCTGCTCCCCACTGTCTCTGGTGAGTCCTCTCACCCCCCCCCCCGCAACTCTGGTCTGTACCCCAGTCCTTATATGCATAAATAAATAATTCTTTAAAATAAGTAAACATCGAGTGTGGCCTCCCTGAGCAGCAAAGCCCTCCCTCTCTGGGGTCCCTCGTTTAAAGCAAATCCCCCACGCTGGGACCTCCTGCCCCCCTCTTTGTTATATTTGTGTCCCCAGGGTTTGTCCCCTTCTCATGAGTGACATCATTGACTTGTTTTCCTTATTGTCTGTCTCCTCCCACTAGGACCTAAACCAAATGAGACAAGGATGAGTGTCTGTTTTCTTTCACCATCACAGACGCAGCCTCTCAAAAGGCAGGCATTCAATAAATAGCCATCCAATGGACAAATGGTCGAACACGTAACTGAATTGGTTTGGAGTGCTTGGGGGTCCCTGGAAGCAGCTGAAAGACAGCGCCAACAGTCGAGGCCACCCCCGAGAAGGTGACAAGTGATGAGTATCCGTCTCCTCGCCCACCCCACGCTGCAGCATCTTCTCTTTCCTTCTGAGACCCTGAACACACTCATGCCCCCCTAAGGTGCCTCTGGTTCAACCCACCAGACCTTCCATTTCCAACGTCTCCCACTCTCCCTTCTTCCGTCCATCCCTCTGGCTGTGGCAGGGGTAAGCCGGCCCAGGGGCTCAAGGGTGACATGCTGGGTGCAGCTGGCCATGACCTCTGTGATCCCTAGATCCAGATCCGGGAAGCTGGATGGCATACTTGCTACTCAAATAAACCTCAAATTGCAGTGGACTGCCAGCCCCAAAGATGGGGCCTCTGTCCATCACTCCAGGGTTGGGGGACTCAGGGACATTCACCCCCTCCCTACCCGTCTCCTCTGCTGAATGCTCTCAGCCTGCCCCCCCCCAGGTGTCCAGCCTCCAGCACCCTGTGGGCCCTGCGAGCCCTGGCAGCCAGCAGTGTGATGAGCACCACCTCTAGCCCCTTTTGAAGGGCCCTCTTTGCCCTCCAGCCCAAAACACAGGGTGCCCCACAGGCCACGGGGTCTCTGCCCCAACCTGAATCCTGAGAAACTGCCCCAAACCCACCCCAGTAAGAACCCTGCCTTCCATCCCCATGGGAACAAATCCCTCCTCAGAAGAGAAGGGACAGAGACCCGTGGAGAAGCAGCACCCAGCCTGTGATGCCTGCTGACCTCGGGGAGACCCCCTTCAGACCACAGCCCCCTGCCCTCAAGGTGGAAGTGGCTGAGAAAGTGGGATGGCTACCAGGGAGCAGCCCCCCTCGAAGATGGGGTGCAGGGTCAATGCTCCGTAGGGATCAGGGGACTGAACTCTGGTCTTGCTCTCAGCAGATGACCGTAAGCCAGGCCAAGCGACCTTCTTGTCCAGAAATGATGGCTCTTTATTTCCAACATAAAGGAAGGGTTGATGAGATCTCCCAGCTCTGCAATCTCTGGTCATATCTTTTAAAGTCATGAACTTGGACTCCCAGGGACAAACATGGTGGTGGGGAGCTCTTGCTCAAGGCCAAGCCAAGGCCTGTGGAAGCAGGGACCCAAGGACCCAGGTAGGGCCCTGGGAATGACGCAGGGCTGCGGGCTTCAAAGTATGGTGTTGGGACCCGTGTGGGGTCCCTGAGGCCCTTTCAAGGGGTCCTCAAAGGCAAAATAATTTTCATCATAATTTGAAGTCACCCCTTGGCTTTCTCCCCCTTGTTCTCTTAGAAGCGAGCAGTGGAGTGTTCCACCGATGACATGACTTGTCATATTGCAAAAGAGTAACAGCAGTGGGTAGGAGAGCCCAGCTGTCTTCTATCAAGCCAGTGGGAAAGGAACTTGCAGAAAGACAAAACAATGTCTTCTCCCTGTTTATTTTTGTTTTAGAAAATAGTTCTTTTTACATTAACACAGAGTGGATTTATTATTGCTACTTTAAATGCATGCATAAGCACAGTTTAAATGCATCCTGATTTAATTTATAATGTAATAAATACTGATAAAAAGAAGCTTCAGAAAAGATCTCGCAGTCCTCGGTCGTCTTTAAGAGGCATCCAAAAACAACAAGTGGGGAGCATGCGGCTAGGACACTGAGCAGAGAGAGAGTGGGTGCTGGCTCTACCCCCCACTGGGTGGGTCAGGCTGGGCATACCCCAGTTTTCTTGCTTCATTTATAAAGTAGGAACAATCATAGCTGCTAGGGAAACTTCCAGAGAAGTCCTGTGGAATATCTGGATTGCTAACCCAATGTGACTCTAGAACCACAGAGCCCCAAGGACCGAGAGGGGGATGCACCCCTTTCAAGGCAGCAGGCTGCAGAGCACAGGGACACCCGAGGGATATCCCCTGCTCCCCAGCTGCGCTGACACTGGCATCAAGTCTTCCCTGTAGGAACAGCCCAGTTTGTGGGTTCGTGGGTTACCAAAACCCCACAAGTGAGAGCCCCCAGGACAAACAAGGGCTGTCCAGGCAGCAAAAACCAGCCTCTTGTAAACAAGAAAGGTCTGTTCCTCACTCTGGGGGTGTTGGGCCTGGGAGAAAGGAATTCCTCTCCCACCACACACAGTCATTCTGCCCAGGGCGGAGAACAAGGGCCACTTTGTCAGGGTCCGGCAGGGAGGCCTTGCTCCAGGGGGGACCTACCTTCACCAGCAGCTCCCCGCGGCCGTCCCAGTCCATCTGAAGGTCCTCCCCATAGCTGAGGCGCACGGAGGCCTTCATGGTGTGCTGGATGCGGAGATCACCTGGAACCCAGGGGAAGCAGGACTTAGGCTGAGAGGGGAGAGGCAGGGTGTTGTCAGGCTGATGTCTCCTCCGGGGGGAGTAGGAGGAAGGTAGCAATGACAAATCAGGTAGCAGATGGGAATGTCCATCAGGCTTAAGAGAGTCTCAGGAAGAAGAATGACCAGGCGGGGGTCGGGTTGGGGGGCTCTTCCCACAGGCTCCCTAAGAAGTGGCTGGCTCCATGCTTGCCATTCCCCTGAAGGCCTCAAGAGGGCACTACAAGCTCTTGCATCCTTCTCTGGGGCAAGGGCCCTGAACCAAGGGATCTGCTTCCCACCCAAGCCAAGGCCCAGGTATTCCAGACCCTGCGCTGGGACAGGCAGCTCCAAAGTCATCTCAGCTGAGCAGTGCAGAGTGCAAAGCTGAAAACCGCAGTTCTTGCTGGAGGAGGGCTAGGGGGTCCCCTTGCCCACAGGGACCTCTGTGTGCCCACTTACCCAAGAGCACCGGCTCCTGCTCATGGTTTGGGGGACCGTGGTTGTGGGAGGGGAGTGGTCACTTGGGGAGGTCCAGGTGGGGATTTGCTACACTGGCAATGACAGTGGACAGGTCACAGGTCACCCGGCTTTGCTCCAGATCCTCTGGTCTGACCCAGCCTCTCGGCTTCGACCTCTGCTCTTTCCCATCTCAAAGCAGAACCAGAACCACCCTGCTTCCCCTCGGTTCCCCTTGGCTCAAGTCAAGTGTAAACACCCTCGGCTCCCTTTTCCCTCTGTGCTCTCTCCTGGGCCTGGAGCAGCTTCCTCCATCCATCCTCGCTGGGCATCCAGTCGGCTTCCTCTTCCTTCTCCACGAGCCCCCCTTCCCGGGAGGGACCCACCTTGCGGATACCCACCCTGCCCCCAGAGATCGTTCCCCCTCATTCCACGGGGCAGGGGTGGAGGGAGGAGGGAACCCACCTTGTAGAAGTGGGAGCTGCACATCCTGGCCACCCACGGAGACTCCGCCCCCATGCTTCAGCTTCACAAGGCCACTGTGCAGGCCGGGCAGGCGCACGGAGACCGAACGGATGCAGACAGCGTCGGGGCCGTCCGCACACTGGCGAGGGGGGCAGGCGGTGAGGTCACCACACCCCACCAGCCCACCACCATTTACTCAGAGAAGGACCCCAACCCCAGACAGACTGTGGCGAGCTCCCACGCAAGCAAAGACGCCCCTCCGCTGTCCAACCCCAACCCTGCCCAGCTTCCGAGGCTCCTGCGTCCCCTCCCATCCCGGCCTGGTCCCTTCTAAGGAATTCTAGGCCTCTGGCTCGTCTGCTTGTCCCTTAGACCTATTTTTTCCAAACAAATTGGGGGTCTGGCTCTGCAAGAGGCCCCTGTGGACCTTCATTCTGTTCTCTGGGGAAAAGCAGAGCCCCCAGACGTCGCTGGGGCTCCATCAAGGAGACAGGCCCCTTCCCATGGCCGCCCCTGCCCTGCCTCCCACAGCGCTCACCTGGACAGTCTCTATGACGATGGAGAAGGTGTGGTCCTGGCAGTCCCGGGCCAGCAGGTACTGGCAGACCCCGCTGAAGGTGAAGTACCTGTTGTCAAAGCTCTTGAAGTGGGACTGCCCTGTGACGAGACACTCCCCTGGAGGGACACAAAGAGGGGCAGAATGGAGAGCTGGTGGGGGCGGCGGAGAGTCTCCAAGCAGCAGCGGGGGACCAAACCCTGACACCAAGTACTGACACCCCTCAGACCTTCTCTCCCACACCAGTTTATATGAACTCTTCAGGGGGACCCCACGTCGGGCCTAGCTGTCAGCCCTCAGAGGTCAGTACTGGCTCCTCGATTTCATGCCTCACTCTGGAGGGGTCACTTACTAAAGGAAGCTCAGTTAGCAGTGAGGGGGGCTGGAACCCACACATCCATTTGTCCTTGCCCAAAGCCACCTCGCGTGGGGCACCTCAGTGCACCCCAGGGCTAGGTCCATCGGGCATGGCCGCTGGGATCACAGACCCACTGGGAGAGCTCCTAAAGGCCTGAGGGCATGAAGGGCAGCCGGGAGGGGCAATGAGGACGGGCCAGGCGGGCACCTTCAGAGTTCAACAGTGCAGCGACCAGGACCCCTCCCTTCCCCCGGGGCTTTGGGGCGGCTCTAAGGCCTCCTCATGGGCAAATCCACGCGTGACTTCAGCCCAGGCCAATGGGGGGCCAGGAGGCGATCTGCCCATGATCTCACCACCACCCAGCCAGCTCCCCAGGCCAGGCTGACATGTCCGTGGGTGGGGCGAGGATTCCCCTTCGTCTCCCTGCAACTCAAAGCCCTCTACCTCATGCCCCAGCCCACCCCAGGCCCCTGTGCTGGCCCAGTGCATCTCAGAGTCGCTATCACTTGTCCTGGGAAGCCCTGCACAGGGGGGTCCCTGCCAGCATCTCCAGTGATTCCCCATCCCCCCACCCAAGCTCAGGGCAACCCCATTTCACTGCAACAAAGGGCCCATTGAAGCTGAACCAGGCATCTGGATCCCTTCCCAAACTCTCTTTATGTATTTCCTCTCATCTTTGCCTTCTACTCTATAGAAAAATAAGCACACACTCGTAGCATGTCCGTTCCATAAAGCATGGGGCCGCCTTTCCTCTTGACCACCCAGCAACAATCACGTGATCCCCAGCATATGAATCTTGTCTAAACCTGAGGTTTCCCCCAAGAGCATCCTAGAGCAGACCCCATGTGGGCCCATCTCCAGGGGTTCATGGAGGCTCCTGCTACACAGTTGCTGGGTGAGGGGTGCCCCAAAGGTCATCGGGAGATTCCAGCTGCCCATCTGTCAAAGCCAAGCCCCGCTGCCTGCCACATCACTGGAAGGCACGGCCGCCCATGTTATGTGTTGGAAAGTAGGGGGTGGGGGTGAGGAGCCTGGGCCCGGGGCAGTGGACCCCTCTTAGCACGCCAGGACAGCAGCGGCCAGAAAAGATAGGAGAAACTAGGGGGTCCCTGGGTCACTGCCATCAACAGCACCTCCTGTATTTTTGCTCCTAACACAGAGCTCCACAAAGGCTTGGGATGTCCTACTGACTGACGCGACTTATGCCCCCAGATAACTTTGGGGAGGGAGGACTATCGTCAGGCATGATTAGACAGCTGGGACTGTCAACCCCAAACCCTACCTCCTGGGAGGAGAGAAGGACTGGAAAGTTAATAATCAATCATGCCTACATGACGAATCCTCCATTAAAGCCCCTGCACAACAAGCTTCTGAGACCTTCTATGTCAGGGAGCACATCCACATGCCAGTACCCCAACTCCACAGGGACATACTCCTGTGCTCGGTGGACTTGCCCTGTCCATCCTCCTCTGTATAGTCACATGTAGCCCTTGGTACCCAGCCAGTAACAGCAAGAACAGGGTTCTGTGAGAGCCGTTCTAGCAAGTCAGCAAGCCTGAGGAGTTATGGGAAGCCAAGGTAGCTAACTTCTACAGGCAGGGGCTGGGTGACATGTGAAGTGGGGGTGGTCCTGGGGGCAACGCTGAGCCTTGAGCCTGTGGGTCTGCTTCAGCTCCAGGGCTGAGTCTCAGACCCAAAGCGCAGCTGTTGGGCTGATGGGAGACCACACATTTGGTGTCGGTGTTGAGTAGGATTAGATCGTGCATGAGGGTCGCTGGCCGTGGAAGTCAAGGCAGAGCCAGCAATGAGGGGGACAAGGTGGCCCAGCTGGTTGTCTTCAGTTGGAATCCAAATCCCCCGAGGTCACCAGAAACCTTTGTAAATGGTCACTTTTCAGAAGCCACCATCAGTCTCAGAGTGATACCACCGTTTGCGTCAAAGGCCTTGACCCATGGCCGTAAAATAGGCAGGAATCCATTCCCCTATCGTCCTTCACCCTTGTTCTCTTATCTGAGCACGAAGTTGGGCTTCCACTATCTTGGACAGGGGTCAAGGAAAAAATGAGCAAACATTCCCAAGCAAAGCATTCAGGCCTGGAGTCGAATCCTCCCATCTGAACTCCTGCAGGGCCCCATGGTGTTCCGAAATTTCTTGAGACTCAGAACTGTATGTAGCGTACCTCCTTGGCCCAGCTGAGGACGGAGGTGCTAGGAAAGGGGGCCAGGAATGAGGACCGGCAAGCTGCCACTCTAGCCCTTGGCCGCCCAGTGCAGGCCACAGCCGGTCAGAGGTCAGTGAGCAAAGGGCAGCTCCTGGCAAGCCAGCAGACAGAGCAGGCAGACAGTGCATCAGTA